TACACTCATGAAAGCCACATGAACTAAGTGATCATCACAGAAAATGGGCCCAGAGAATGGTCACAGCACTGCACCACACTGGCTGTTCAGAGAAGGCTGAGAGGTTGCAGATGGCTGTGACTCAAGGGGCCCCTTCCCAAGGGGGAGTGGAAGATGAAGGAAAGCATTGCAATATATTGACTGCACCTTTTGGCTTTTAATCTACACAATTTAGAATGGATGGAGAACAAGGGAGTTCTCCTTCCCCTTTGTATTTTCATAGATTACGATTGTTCCTCCGTGGGAGTGCCAGTGGGCTAGAGAGGTGATGAGAGTGGTTGGAGGCTCTGTGGAGAAGCATGCCTTAGGAAAAGAGGTGGAGTTTTGCTTTGTAATCATCAGAACTTAAAAACCTTGGTGTTTGGTCTGACAGGGACTCTGGAATTCTCCAGCACTTTTGAGTCTCCACGAGTGGAGAGTCCCATGAAAACTGCTCTGTCAGAAAACTCTGCTTCTCAAATATGTGCAGTTTCCCATCTGTGGGCAGAAATATAGGGAAAAAAAAAAAAACCCCTCTGGCTTTGTTTGAAACTATGACATTCTGAGTCCAGTCTCCTTTTCATAGTCATATTAGAATTAGTCATATTCTACATTCAGAATTTATGTACAAGCCCCATAGATAATCTCCCACTTTTGGCAAACAGAGTAAGTGGAGAACATCACCCCCACATTTTTTCATTAAATAAGTTTACATGAGGCTAGAGGATATTCCTCCCCTCCTCTCCCCCACTCCCAGCCCCGTGCCTTCCTTTCTACAAAGCATAAAGAAAAACTAGATTTGGGGTAAAAAAATAGTCATTTTTAAGACATCAAGTATTTCAACCATTATCATAAAAGGCTAGTAACAGAGCTAAGATATCTTATAATACATACAACAAATTTCTAGATATGTCTTATGGCTGAGCATGTTTATCTAACACCAACATCTGCAACAGTTCCAACAGTGACAATAACTACTGAAAGCACCACAAAAAAAACTAATTTTCTCCATCAAAAGTTTAAAAAGCACTGCACATGGCTCCTTAACACCTTTCTCGATGTCAGACCAAATCAGAACATATTTATTTCCCAGCTCCCCGGTAACAAATGATAGCATCTCTGGAACTCACCCATTCAACAGCTGAAAAACAGCTTTGCCTTTGAAGACAGTCAGGCCTATCAGCACAAGTAAGCTGTCTATAAAAAGCAAGCAGCAACACAGTTTAGGAGAATAATTGTAGATGCAACAGCATCAGCAAAGCTAGCAGAGTAGTGCTGAAGAAATGAGACCCAGGGAAGCTTAAGAGCCAAAACTCAGGAGCAGCAGAAAGCTCAACAACTGCTCGGTGCTTAAGGCTCTGAACAATTTACGTTTTCAATTTCGGCTGCAGCAATACAAACCTTGGGTCACAACGGCATCTTAGCAGAACAGACCTAGACCTAAGAAATACGGTTACCAGCAAATAAAAGGTTTTTATCAGGGCACAGGGGCCTTAATGGCCCTCAATAGCCTCACCTGGTGTCCCCACCCACACGCACACCCCCACCTATGGGTCCAGGAGCCCCATTTAAACCTCATCCATCCTGTGCCTTCAGCCTCTGCTTGAGCTGCACTGCAGGACTGAGCTCTGGGCTGCCCTCGGTGGCCCCACCGGTCCAGCCCTGCTCCCTGGTTCAGGGTGGTGGGACAGACCCTGGCTGGTGAGGTCTCAGCCCTGGTGGCTGTGTGATCACACACAGCTCCTGGCTCCCCAGCCCCCGAGAAGAAGCCAGCCCTTGCTGCTCCCTAACACTTTTTTTTTTTCCTAACCACCTCAAATTGCCATCGTTATGTGCATTTTCAGCGTTAGCCTGACATCAAGAGAAGACCTCAAATTGCCATCATTATGTGTATTTTCAGCGTTAGCCTGACATCAAGAGAAGCTCTTCAGGCATAGAGCCGTGCCAACATGTATTATATGAGGAGTATTTCATTAGACAATGCTACAATCTAAGACATCTGACTATTAAGCAAACCTTTTAAATCACATAGATTGTTTCAAGTGCCGGTACAACAAAGACTATGCTTGAAAACATTGTGGGTTCTCTGGTCACTTCTAATAGGTATAGTTCAAAACTGCAGAAAACCACTGAAATCAAAAAGGCTGAAATATAACTTGTTCTTTCCTCACAAAGGAACAAAATCAGTACAGCCATCAGGGCAAAAATTTTTGAAAATAGCTAGACATCTGAACATCTTAATTTCTGGGTGCCCAAAAATGAAACAATTTAAAATGCACTTTTTCTGCATTAATTCAAAAGTAAATCTCTTTACAGTCACTCCATTACACTTAAGAATGGAGTTGTCCAGTATCATTAATCAATTATGACAATATTTTGTTGTAAGATAGGTTGAAGAGCAACAAATTAGTAGCTTTTCTACTTACTACTGTCCTTTCATTTTCTACTTATTTCAAAGCTTGGAAAAAAGCTAACCCTCCGTTAAGGTATGTGTACCAAAAAAATACTGTAACCAAAGAAAACATTTTTGCCTTGAATTGAATCATCATATTAATTATTAGATCAGATGTTCACAAATTAAGTGGTATCAAAGTCACAATTTCTTCTACAAGATACTCAGATATGTTAAATATTGCTGTTCCTCTCTCTTAGTGAAATTGCTATAGCATTTTTGCCTTAAATCTTGTGATCCATAAGTCCTAATTAATAACAGTGCTTATAAGTAACTAATAGAATTGTGTACAGCGCTAAATCCTGAAGTATAAATTGCTACCCAATACCTCTACTGTAGTCTCTGCAGTAGGATAGATTCTGGCTAGAATTTATCTGAGTTTGTCATTTGGCACACAGTAAAATATGATGATTCCCTTTAAACATGCAATTAAAAATCTTTTCTACCCCTTTCCCATGATGAAAACACATTTTTCTCAGTATGTGTATCTGCAGCTAAGATTTAAGAAAGACTCTAACAGAAAAGCTACTATTCCTTAGCCTCCTTTAACCCAAATAATATGCAAGATTTCTACTTTATAATAACGCCTTGCCATTTTGAATGCAAAGAGGGATCATCTTCCTTCACACTTGAGACCTGAAAAGTATTCAATGTCTTAAATACCTGAGTAATTCGGGGCAAATTGAGGGCACCTTGAAAGTATAAGCCCATTAATGAAACAGAATGTATTTACCCCAGGAATGTACAGTCGGTGGAATGTATAATTTGTTGTAACAAAAAAACTTAGTATTGTATTTGGACAGAAAAACAAAAGGTACCTTTATTTCATATCAACAGTCCTTTGCAGCTTTCTGTATGCCGGCTCACTGTGCTACTCAGGCTCCACTGTGCAAGCAGAAACTGTCACTGAATGACACCCTGAATTCATTACAAAGCTGTACCGATAGGGAGACAACAAAAGGCAGAAATTAAAGTTCATTCACATAGTGGACGAACCACATCAAGGACAGATTATCATGGGTTCTGACTGAAAACAAACCTTCACTGATCTAAACGGAACAGAAGAGAGAAACATGGTTGGATCTAAAGCGCAGGGGAAGCCTGTGCATCAAACAGGCCTTGTCCTTCCAACATACAAGGTAGAGGAGAAAAGGGAATGCTGTCACCCTGTGCATGCAGTTGCATTTCTCTCCAAAGCACATCATGGGGTGCTGCTCACCTAGCAATGAAGATAAACATGCAGTGAAGTACTCTCCTCTACAGCATAAGTCTGCATCTTAATCATATCAATGTAAATATAAACAAGGAAAAGCAATTGTCTTTTCAGTTGCCATATACTGCAACTCTAGGAAAAGCACTGTTTATTATTGTCACAAGAATTCTCAGATTACTTCAGTGCAAGAGCATTGGACTCAAAGCCAGCATACTTAAAACAAATTAAAAGTACCAGAGTGACACTGACCATGTCTTGTTTGATTTTCTGAACTGAAAGCTACCATCCACGTCCAGGATGATAATTTCAGAGTGAGGGCATGTTCTTCCACCGAAATGGCTTGTATAAAAAGTATTAGGACTAAATAAATAAATAAAGGGGAAAAAACCCTTATCTTATCCTGACTGCTAAGAACAGAGAAAAGTACCTATCTAAAATTAAAACACCTTTGACATACTTCAGTGAATCTATCTATCCTCCTCCCTAAACACAAATGCCCCAGGAACATTTGAACAAGAGATTATAAACAGAGACCAAAATCTGTCTTGAATATGTGCTGTTACTGCCTACACTCCTTTGGGAATCACATTAACACTTGGGAAAACCTGCTCCACCACAGTCTTCCCTTTGACCCTAAGCAAATCACTTGGTCCCAGAGCCAGGAAGCATTCCGCAGCCTAATTCCTAATGAAATTAATGAAGTCAGGTGTCTAAAAGTACATTTAGGGAGTGATGGACCTGAGCCCCTCTGTACCTTAGGAACTAGCAGGCTCCTCCCTGTCTGAAAGGGCTGCGTGGTATTTCAGAGCAAATGATTTAAAAGCCAGTTTGCGCTCAGATAGGGTAGTTGTGGTAGGAGTAAGGATTTACCAGGCAGGCTAAAAACTTCACAGTCCCCTCTGCCACCCCTCTTGGTAACTGCCCAGTGTAATGAGCATCCTCCCAGCTCCACGCTGCAGCAACAGCAGCTGGTCCAAGATGCAGCTGCTGCTGCTCCTGCAATCACAGGGTACCTGGAACAGACGCGAGGCATAAAGTACCTCTCTTGCAGTTGCAGATCTGTTCACCCAGTTTGCCCCCAGTTTGCTTTCAATGGCCACACTACAAATGCACAAGTGAAGGAAAAAAGTTTTTACTTACCTACTTTCCCCCAATTAGAATATTTTATCAATTTTTGACATGTAATTTAAGATTTCTCTTCTTTTCTTCTTATATACTTATGTATTTATTTTCCAAAGGACCTGTTGCAGAAAAAGGTCTCAAGGTACATTACAATTATTCAGAAAAGGATTAAAAATAAAAATTAATTCAACCATCTCAGTAGATAATGCTTTAATGAGTTTTCCTTCAGAATTAATGTCATCAGAGTTCTGAATACACAGAAAGCATGGAAGCAATATATAAAGTTTCATGTTTGTACCTGGCTGCCAGGTAAAAAAACATTTATGCACTTTAAACCAGAATTAATTTGTCAGTCATTTTTTCCACATTAGATGATCTCTGTGGAAATGAAGTAATGTTCATTTTTTTTAAATTGCCAATTTTTCTACAAGCATTTGTTTCAAACAGAGGTGCACAAGTATGGTAAATCTATAAACTAGATCTTATTCACTGCAAAATCAGAAGCATTTAATCATTCAGTTATAGCAACAGCTGCCCCACGTCTACAGATGTTACAGACTGTCATTTAAGTTTATTTAACGATAAGAAAAATATGTAACTTATATGCTGGATATTGTAATATTTTTTTTTAATCTTTGTTTTTATTTGTTACTGTCTCATGCCAATTAATATTTAAAAAAATAAATCTATTTGTAACTGGACACAATGACAGTAAGAAGTAATAAGGAACCAGTAAGAACCAGAGGAAGCTAGTGACGTAGTCTAAAGCACCATGGATACTTCATATTTAATTTGAGGACTACCAATAAAGTGTAAAGCTTATGCTAAAAATTCATTTATATTTAGAATTAGTTTTACAAGTCTCATATCACCAGAAAGACATAGTCCCTTTTTCAGTGCTATGCAGGAAAGACCTTCCACAAACTAGTTCCACATGGAATAGACAATATTTTGCTGTTTTTCCATAGCACATTTATCCTAATATGAAGTATTTCATATTCTTGGGTAGCTTAGCACTGGTATTTCATATCCCAAGTCAAATGACTGTCAACACCTGAAAGCGTACGTGACATGAACTTTCCATGTCAGGAGATACAAGATAATTCAAGGTTATGGCCCAATCCCAAACTCTCTGCACACTAATATTATGCAAAATCATTTTTTGCATTCCAAAGCTATTTGAATAGTTTTACTGACTTAAAACACGCTCAAACCCCATTTTTTATGGCCACAAAAAGTCCATAATGCCTATTAGTATCCCCAAACACCAAGAACGCTGTTGTCATGAATTAGATGTAATCATGATAGCAATGGGTCTTTTCACTCCCTTGAGCTCCCAAATTGCACATTACACAATCATCACAGAAATAGACTCTACACCAAAAAAAAACCACCTAGAAGAATTTTCCTTCAAATACAAACAAAAAATCTACACTTTCCATCAAATGGAACTGGCCTCTTGTAGAATCATTCTGAGAAAGCTGAACTGAACACTAAAAAACAGTGTGACGCAAGACTTCTTTTATATAACTTTCAGCATCCAGGCTGAAATTTTCAAGGAATCAATGTAACATCAGAAAAGTCCATGATTTGAACAAAGAAAAAGAAATATGGATCTCTGAAGTCAGGCATTAAATCCAATACTTCAGCTGGCAAAACTCTCTCCTTATGAGTCCGGCCTTGGCACTTCAGATTACTATAAAAAGACTTACAAATTTCTTTAAATAAGTGCCAGTATGCAGTTAAGTATCAGCCTATATTCAAAATCTGATTTGATGCTGCTGTGATTCCATGAATTCTAATGGAACTCCTTCAAATTTTTTCACCACTGCAAGTGAACCTGAATTATCAAAATATCTCATTTTGCATTATTTTTAGCTGAAATGTATGTCAATGTGAAATCATTTGAACTACATTAGTAGAACTAAAATGATCCCTAGTGTAACTCCATTCACGTCAGTTACATCAGGAATGCATTTCACCACTATAATTTAAAATGTAAAATGCCCAAGTGACGATAAAATTATTTTTCTGAGAGTTGCCAGTATCCAGTAACACTGGGAAAGCTCTGACAGAAGCAGTAGTAGTAATTTGGAGCCGTAACAGCTCAAATACAGCATTTCTCTGGCACACAATTTCAACTGAAGTAAAACTTAATGGAAATCTCTGTTTCTTGTTAAGCACTTGGGATCTTTGGGTTTTAGCATGTTAGGGGTAGGACTCTGGGATTTTCAAGCTGTGTTAAAAGTGACTGGACTGATGGGTAGTTGAATAATCAGATTATAAACCAGCCGAAGTAAAGCTACTCGTGTCCATTCTGGAATGCACAATCCTTTCTGATTCAGAATTGTCTGCCAAACTGATAGCACAATCTATCATTAAGCTACAGTAGTGTTTTTTTATAACAACAAATTGCACAGGTTTATACACTGCAGGAGGGAGAGCAGACTCCACCATTCCTTTAGGACATGTCTCCACAGTACTGCAGTATGTAGTGCCGACACACCCAGAACATTGCTCTGCCCACTGCTATGAGGTCCTACTGTAAGACCATTTCCTTCAGAGAGTAAGGTACTGCTATGATCACAGAATAATATAGACATTGTCACGCTTGTTTGAAATTAAAAGGTTGTGTTCTGGGAGCAGAATAGCTGAATGACTTGCTGGAGAAGCTAACTACTTAAGCAGTTACTTCATGCTGAGCTCCATGTCCACAGAACGAACATACTCTCAGAGTTATTCCAAGGTTTTTTTCCTTATTTCCATTAGACTTCTAAAATGCCACCTTTTATAAAATACCTTCCCTTTCAACCAGGCAATACTGCAAACAAGTACCACTTCTTTTCTCTAAGTTCCTTCTTTACCTAGTTAGTATTTCTTTTACTCCTACATTCTTGCCACAATCCCTGGTATTATATGGTCTCTAGTGTTACACAGAACTACTAGGAAGTTAGTTTACACGAGAACCCTTATGCTCTTTACATCATTAACTATTAGCTGTTAAAGAAACACTTTCAGTTACGGATTTTTGCCGGATTTTACAGCACGTTCATCCTCATTGATGATATTGCCTCTGTAGAAAAAAAAGTATTTAGTACATTTAACTCATGTGAGCTACAACAAAATGCAATGTTCAATTTTGGCAAATGCCTATGTATAAAATTACGAGGTTGTTTCATTCAAAACATAGTTGGAATTAATGTCATCGGACTAAAAAGAAGTTTTGGTTAATGCTTCACATCAAAACTATAGTGAAGCCTTCCCTATGATTTTAAATTAGGAACCAGACATTTACACACAAGTTTTGAACCAGGGCTCAGCACAACGCAGTCTTTTGTGTGTGTCTTGGTTTTTATTAGTTCTTCTGCAATGCAAAAGAGGACAAGCAGAGAAACTTCAAAGAGGAAATTCACAGAAAGTCCATGAAGGCAAAAATCTATGTTTATGGCTCTGTTCATACCACTGGACGTTGCATACAGCAAACCATGCTTATCTGATAGATTATGCATAATGTTGTGGGTGCCTAATTTGGACTGCTTTTATTGTTGCTTTTCAGCTCCAGAACAGTCGCTAATTAGTTCTCCCCCCACCAAAAATCCTCTCCTCGGCTTCAAATGAATATTGCAAAACTACTGTAATTCCATAGCATTGGTAAACCCCTTTTACTCTCATAAAGGCCTGTCCCAGCCTTTAAAGTGCATATGCCAATTTGGTTCAAGTTTTGTAATCTGGAATGTTCCACAGTGCCTCTTCAAACACAGTTCCAGTTTAATTGTGCCTTCCCTAGGTAATTATAAGTCTGAAAAAACATGCCTGCTCTGAATCTATTATTTATGTTTTATGCAGCAGTATCTTACCTATTTCAATCTGGAGCCTGGAATATACTGTAGGCCAGACAATCTTTACCTACCTTAATCTCCTAGGAAGGGCAATGGAAGTTTTTGAGACAGAGTAAAATACAGCTGGCCTAAGAATCAGCGAAAAGAAATTATGGAATGTTTTCTCAAGGACTGCATAGGACCCAGCATGTTCGTTTTGAATCCCAGAATGCCTATTTTGGATCTTAAATGTTGCTTCAAATACACATGGGTGAAAGCTGTAATTAAGGGAAAATGCAGCACCAATAATAGCATGTTAAAAGTTAGCAATTCTCAATTGTCAGTACTGTAACAACTGAATATCTTATTACTTCTGCCTTCTCCTCCCATACATTGAATTTCTTCAATACTGACAAAGTGCATGTATTAATCATAGACTCTGAATGTTAAATTAACCAGGAAAAAGATATAAATTGGGATGGTGTTTCTTGAGGGTATCAGTAGAAAACACTGATTTCAAATAATTTTGATTATAAAATTTTACTTCACAATCCTTTTCCAGATCACAGATATTCATAATTAAAAAGAGTATGGAGTTGATGTAATGTTTCGGCATCAGCATCACATAAAGAAAAAAGAAACAATAAAATATGATGCAGAATTCACTCTTCCAATGATTGTCATTGAACTATTACATTAGTAAACATTCACAGTATGAAGTCTCTTTCAATATATCTCCAGCATATAAAGTAGTGCAAAAAAGCATTCCAGTCATTTTGCCTTCACGGTCAGACCAGGTTAAATTATTCTCTTACTTCACTTCTTTCATTATTAGACAACAAATGCTGCAATGCCTCCAAAGAGAGTTATAAAAATAAACAATTTCTGGAGGGTCATCAGCCTTTTCAAAGTAAGTTTCCAGTTAAAAACAAGCATAATAGATTTCAAGAAAAAAAAAATTTAGATCTATCTTCTGTAGAATATCTTTTTACAATAAATTTACCATTTGAAAAACAATGACTATGGTATCCAATGATTTATGGTAGCTGCTATTAAAGCACTGATAAATAGATAAATGACTACCAAACTTCATTGCTTCTTACATAGTAAATACCTCTGAATGCCAACTTTTACCACAGAGCTGTTATTAGTGATGTCGACAGTTCATGCACCCACTTTAAAACTGACTTGGTTTTAATAAATTTTTCAGCCTCATGTGCAAAACACTTGCATTCTAATAAAAATATAAAATCTGAAATTATATCAGATCTAGCAATCCCTTCCTCAAGTCATACCACTTACTTGATATGTAATACAAGTTTAGCAATGCTTTTTATTTGTATTTAACCATTAAATGGCATACTACTGTATGCTGTGGACTCTTGTTTGCATATTTCATTATTTTCACTGCACTCTTTAATGTATAAATATATTTGGAAATGTTCGAAATTACACATCAGTTTCCACAGAATTTGAATTTACACAGTTTTTCTTCTCTGACTCACTGCTATTCCCCGTGTCCTGACTTTTTTTCTCCTTTACACAAAGAGATTCTTTAACTCCTTCTTCCATCTCCAGATATTCTGATTTATCCTCTGTGGATGAAGATGATGAGCTTCTAAATTTCTTCAGTAAATTTGTTGGGAGGTAAGGGCAACTGACTGCATTTTGCATCAGCTGCGTTTGTTCTTCATTCTCAGTCTCTCTGTGGTAGAAATAGTTAAAATTGGAGACAATCACTGGCACTGGTAAAGCAATGGTTAACACTCCCGCAATGGCACACAGGGACCCAACTATTTTCCCACCCACAGTTATGGGTTTCATATCCCCATAACCAACTGTAGTCATGGTCACTACAGCCCACCAAAAGGCATCTGGGATGCTTTGAAAATGGGTGGCAGGCTCATCAGCTTCTGCGAAGTAAACAGCACTGGAAAACAAAATGACTCCAATAAAAAGAAAAAAGATGAGGAGGCCGAGTTCCCTCATGCTGGCCCTGAGCGTATGACCCAGGATCTGCAAACCCTTGGAGTGCCTGGAGAGCTTGAAGATGCGAAACACCCTGACCAGACGGATAATCCTCAGGATGGCAAAGGACATGGCCTGCTGACCGTTACTGCCCTGCTCCTGTGCCAAGTCAGTGCCCAGAGTAATGAAGTAAGGCAAGATGGAGACAATGTCTATGATGTTCATGATGTTCTTGAAGAAGTGTGCTTTGCTTGGACACGCAAAGCAGCGCACTGTAAACTCAAAGGAGAACCAAATGATGCAAACTGTCTCTACAATGAAAAAAGGGTCATTGAAGATGGTGTGCTCCCCAACGTCCAGGTGAAGTGACTCATTGGAAAGCCCCTTCCCTAAGCTCAGGGACATGATGAATTCTTTGTCATCTCTGAACTCTGGCAAAGTCTCCAGACAAAAGATGACGATGGAGATCAAGATGACCAAGACAGAGACAATAGCAATGCCTCTGGCTGGACTGGAGCTCTCCGGGTACTCAAACAGCAGCCAAACCTGCCTCTTAAACTCATTTTCCGGCAAAACTTTGTCCTCTTCCTCTTTGACAAACCCTTCATCCTCCCTAAACTTGAGCATGGCCTCCTCCCCAAGTTGGTAGAATTTCACCTCCTCAGTGAAGATGTCAAAGGGTACATTGACTGGCCTCTTCAGCCGACCACCACTCTGGTAGTAGTACAGGATGGCATCAAAGCTGGGCCGGTTCCTATCAAAGAAGTATTCGTTCCTGAGAGGGTCAAAGTATCTCCCTCGTTTCGCCGGATCACCCAACAATGTCTCTGGGAACTGAGCTAACGTCTTCAGTTGGGTCTCAAACCGCAGTCCTGACACGTTGATTACCACACGCTCACAACACTCGTACTCACTGTAGCGAACAGAGCTGTAACCCCCAGGGCCTCCACCATCATCAGGTGGCTGGTCCGAGTAGGAAAACTCATCCTCCCCATAGTCATCACTGTAGTAGAGCTTTCCTTCTTCCTCATCGTCTTCATCCTCGTCTTCATCCTCCTCTTCCTCCTCACTCAAGTCCTTCAGTATTCTCTCTTCAGAACCGCTGAGAGGCAGCAGCTCAGAACAGGGGAAGGAGGCCCCGCACTCCCTACTTCCCAAGCGGTGGCTCCTCTTTTTCCCTTTCTTTCTCCTCTTACCGCTCTGGCGGTGGGGCATGCTGCTGCGTGACGCGCTCCCGCCATGACAGGAGGATGCACCTCGACTCTGCTCCTGATGGTAGTGGTGATATGGTCCACCTCCACCTGTTGCCCCACCTTCAACGGCTGCTGTTGCTGCTGCTACGGCCGCAGCTGCTGCGGCTCTTGACTGGGCCAGCCGCTCTCTCTCTCGGGCCCGAGCTTGGACCGCGTATCCGTAGGGCATGTGGCTGTTGCACCCAGAGCTATCCGCACTCACCATTGCAACCTCCATTTTGCAACTGTTTTTTTTTTTTTTTTAATTATTTTAGTCACTTAATGCAGAAAGGTTTTCTCTCATATACAGTGTAACCTTAACTTTCACTAGGGAAAGTTCAAAGCCATTTGCATTGGGAGGGCAGTCCCTTGGACATAGAGCAGGGCAACATAATTGTTACACTGAATCTATGATTTGGAAAACCACGGATCTGCATTTTCTTATTGTCCGGATCATTTGACACAAACTACTGTTTTGCCAATAAGAAAAGATGAAACTCTCAAACTGAACCAGGGAACAGCTGAGGCCTGGCTCTCTCATTCGCCAAGCCCCTTTATTTTCATTTATCTCTTGTGGCTAGCACAGATCTCATCAGAATCATGACTACCTTGCAGGCTACAAAGACTGCGTTCATGAGGGAAAAAAATATGCAAATCAAAGGGTACCTGCTCTCCACAGATGATTTTAGTTCATTGATGCAACCAAATGCAAAATCTCTTTCCTCATAATTTGTTCCTGGTAATGCTTTGGCCTAGCAATCTTATTATTGTTTAATATCACTTGGGGAGTTGAAGTTAATTCCAGCCATCACTTTATTTACACAGTGAGGAGGTCTTTGCAAATCCTTTCTTCAGCCTGTCAACAACGTCTCAAACCTGGGAGCAGCACCCAGGGCGTCAGCAGCAGTGGTAAGAGGAGGAGGAGGAAGAGGAGATGAAGACTGAGAAACTGGCTCTGAGGTCCCCATAGGACATAAGGGAGTGGATGGGTCACCCTTTGGTTATGGTCATGCAGAAGCAGCACTTAACCTGAGGCACATGCACAAACACACAAAAATAAACAAAACAAAAAGGGAAAAGATTGGATTGTTTTCCTAAAAGGTCACACTGAAACTGTGTCATCTATTACCACAGTATTCAAATCCTCCCCTACCCACACTATTCACACTTCTACATTACACACACACCCACATCACATGCACAGAGATTTTGAACGACTCTGTGGGTAAGGATGTGGGTGGGTATGTCACATATATATAGACAGAGATACAAAATCCCCACCCATATAAGCACTTGCATCCATACACAAACACATGCATGCTTCTGAAAACACCAACACACATAAACACTAATAAAAATACTGCAATACACGGTGCATTCAGGTCTCTGAGTACATACGTAATAGATACACCTACGTATATCTATATGAAATATTAAACAATAAAGGTATCTACAGAAAGAGCTTTTGTTATATTTGTAGAAACACACAGGATGCAGGAATGTTACAATTTCATCTATAACTGAATTGTGTTTCAATCATAATGAACATCTGACTGAATTTTGTTTGGAAACAGGCACGTACAATGCTCACTCGAGTGAAAATACTGTCATATGATATGTCAAGAAAACACAACTGCAGGTGCACTGAAGCAACACCTACATGCAAGCACACACAAAAATACACACACACACCCCCCTTTGAAATAGAAGCCTCATTTTTAGCTATGGCTATTAATACATGATAGAAGGTGAACATGAACTATTAAATGATGCTATTTTTAAAATCGTACCTACGTGTCATGCAGAAAACGATCTCAAAAACGCTATTATACTTACTGTTCCTAGGCAGAGAAATAGCAATGCTGTTCCTGCTAGTGTAAGGATCTGGTGTGAGCAGTCCTGAGGACGGGGCTGTGCCAACTGATGCACATTTGCAGGTGTGTGTGGTCAGTCAGCACCACAGGTTGACGAGTGCTTTTCCTCCCTTCTTTCCGGGTGCAACAAGAGCGCCAAGAGTGAGCCAGAGAGGCAGCTTTAAGCTGGGGGCACTCTGCTCAGCCACAGACGCTGCTTCTCGCCCAGGCATTTGCAAAAAGGCAATAAGCAAGAGTCTTGTTCCAAAAGGAAAAGAAAAAAAAAAAATAAAAATGAAGGCGGTGTGTTTGTGTGTGTGTGAGACGGAATGAATGGGTAAGCGCGAACCACTAGTCTTTTCCAAGCCCGGCTTTTGCAGCAGATTTGTAAATCACCGTTAAATAATCCTCATACCGAGCCTGTTTCCACTGATGGGAGGACACAGGGTGCCGCTTCTTGCAGTTTCTCGCCCCCCTCCCCAGACACGTCCAGACGGCAGGGGCTCAGCCAGCACCACCCCGCATCATCCACTTGTTGTGCCGCTTTTTGGTAATGCTTACCAAAAAAATAAATAATATTAAAAACCAAACAAACGAACCCAACCAAAATTAAAAAAAAAAAACAACAAACCACCAAGAGGGAAAAGCAGTTCTCTACTCGAAGGCTGTGTGTTTTTTTTAAAGCTGTAGCCGGCGACGGCGGGTGCTGCGTGGCGGAGCGGCGGGGGTGCTCCCGCAGCCCGCCCTGTTGCTCGGCGGTGCCGCCGCCCGCCCTCCCTCCCTCCCTCCCTGCGCGCCGCCGGGG